CGGTTGGGTCCTACGCAAGTGCGAGTGACAGATGCGAGGGCAGGGAGCCCGGGAAAAACGCACAAAACATTATCCGATTACGAGGTCGTGAGATAGATGCGCCATATCGCGTCCCAACGTGGCGACTGTAGGAGCGAAAGCTCCAAGTAAGTGCCTCATGATGCAATACACTGTTCGCCTACAATATACTCGGGACGCTGTGAACAGGTTCAACGAACGTGCACACTAGCGCAAAGGGGGTTTATTTCGGGGGCTGTGAGCATACAAGAGCGGCGGGAGGCCAAAGAAGGCAGCGCATCAGCGCATCAGCACAGAGATGGCATAGGGTCCACGAAAACAGGCAGCGCGCTCTTCCCTCGTCTAAGATAGCTCACCACGGCCACTGGAAGCACCGCCCTGTTGTTCATCCAGAAGCGCAGAGCGCTGGTGAGGGGAACCACCAGACGGAAGGCCTGCAAGGGCAGATTAGAAAATGAACGAGGATCGGGGCCAGTAGCTGATGCGCGGTCCCACAAATATCGGCCGCGTTGGACAGCGGTTCTTAAGCACGCAGGAGCCCGCACCAAGGGCGAGTCCACATGCAAGCGCAAGCGCGCTTGCGTCATAGCGGCATACATGGAAGATATCCAACTGCTTACCTGCGCTGTTACCAGGCGCCTGCAAGCTGCCTGTGCCGCCACACGGGTTTCCCGGGAGAAGTGCAGCGCCGCGCACACCAGCAGCCGGCACAGCGCATCCATGCAACCTGTGAGGAAGCCGAGCAAGATAGGGAAGGCAACAGAGCCATCCACGGGAGTGGTGGGTCACTAGGCCACAACTAAACTCTTCTGCCGCGAAGAAGCCATCGAGCAAGCATTTCCACTATCAAACATCGTGCAATGAGCCACACAGCAACGCACATAGTGCTGGTGTCGAGCACATACACCTCATAGACGGGATCCAGATGGGCCATCTTCATACATCACTAAGCCCTTGGACCTTCTAGCACCATGACCCTTCAGAGGGCCCCGATTCGCCAGCAACTATGGGCTTTCGCCTTCCTCCCCCTCGCTACTGTTGGGGCCCCCCCGGGCCTACCCTCCGTCGCGTCCACCGCCGCCCGTAGCGCGCCACGCTCCTGGCCCAGCACCACCTCCGCCAGCTCTGCCATGCGGGGACAGTCGGCAGGGGGCAGCTTGGCGGCGTTGGCCGGCTGTAGTAGCGGAGAATCCCCGCGTAGAGCCGCAGCCCACGTCTTGTCGCCCGTCTGAAGAACCGCGGACTCTGAGGCACCTGCGTGTGTGCAACCCGTGCGTGGCGTAGCGCTTAAAATGGCGTCGAGGAGGCGAGTAGCATATATACATAGGCAAGGATATCGCATTCGGGCTCTGGCTCAGACCAACGATCCGCATGCCTCAGGCCTCCATGCAGTCATCAGCGATTTCCCCAGGGGTTGAGAACACGGATGGCGATGTGTATGTGTGTGTATGTGTGCGCGCGCGTGCCGCTACGACGGGCACGGTTCGGGGGACGCACAAAATAAGCAAATGGCATATGGTTGGATGTATGTGCCCATGTGTGGGTTGGATCGTGGACGGTGGTGGCTTCGGGAGCGAGGTTCTCCTGCCCCTCACCTCCCACAGCTTCACACAGCCGTTTTTACCTCCAATGGCCTTCTTTGTTTATAGCCCCAACATAACGAGGTTAGCCAGGTCACGCTCCATCACATCAACCACATCAACTACACATACCAACGTATCTTTAAATCTTTAATCTTTAAACTCATAATCACATTCAGAGGGGCCTTCCACACCATTCCCGCTTCAATCAATCGGATCCCCACCCCTATCCTCATGACTACAGGACAGGACATCAAATTCCTTCCATGAACCCACAGGACCCCTACCTGCCGCCTCCAGCGCGCGCGCCACCACAAGCGCTCCCAGCACACCGTCTAGACGAAGCGCTGGCTTGCTCAGCGCATCCGATACCCACTTGAGGCATGTCTCCGGCGCGCCGCTCTGCTGCAGCAGTGGACCCGCCAGCTTGGGCGCAGCGCGAACTGCCTGCAGCGCACTTCGCGCTGCGGCGCGGCGGAGTGCCTCGCGCGATGTGTCGCGCAGGCAGGCCATGAGTTGCGTCGGAACCGCCTGGGGCACTGAGGCCGCAGGGCCCAGGCGCGGCAGCCAGGCAGCCAAGGTGCTGAGCAGCGAGATCTTCACGTCCTCAGAAACTGCGGAAATGTTCGGAGTGCGGGGACAGAGTGCAGTGTGTGGCGATGAAGACGTCACGTGCGGAGGCTGTGCGGGAGAAAACTTGGCACGGCGATGGAAACAGGGAGCCTGGGCATTTGCGAAAAGAATTATGTTTCCTGTCAGGGTAGGCCCGCGTTGAGATGGAAGGTGAGGACTAGAGCACATTGCTGCCAGTCGCTGCTTTCCCAAAACACCACACCCTCTTGCTCTAATTTCATCGGCTACATGTCGCGCCGTGGAATGCAAGAATGCACCTGTTACGTCGCACCAGTGCGGCTTCGGACAAAGCAGCCTCGCCTCCTATCTCCGCACACCAGGTGTACACGTAGCTTAAGGTTTTCCTAACGGCCGACCGCGCGCAAGCAGGCACAGGTGCCCCGTAACCAAGACTCACGCTCATCCTTGACAGCAGTGGCCAGGAAGGCCGTCACGCCGTCCGCTAAAGTTTCCACGCCGCTGGCCGCCGCCGGCGCCTCCGCCAGGGCCCCCAAAGCAGCCGCCAGTGCTGAGCGCTCCGCAGCCACCTTAATTTTTCCCTCGGCGCTGCCGTCCAAGATCTGTAGGGTTCCCAGGACACGGTCAGACGGGTAATCGAGAGCTAACGTATACACCGGCGGGTGTTCAACGTCCCAAGGCCCACCCCATCCTGAGCGGCCGCCCAGGCTCCTCCCATCCATCCGACCCCTCTTCCGTGACCTGATCTGACTCCTCGATCTTTCCCGTCCATTCTGCTCGAGCAAGTTTCATCCTCATCCCCCATCAACAGTTGCCCACTCCCTCGTAAACAGCATTAATGATGATGGACCCACCTTACGAATGCCCGACACCAGCTCCGACAGCACGGCTACGTCACCGCACCGTCCCGCCAAGTCCCGTACCGCCTCCAACGCCGCCACCCGCACGCTCTCTTTGAGCCGCATCTGCTGCACCAGCAACGGTACCAGCTCCGCAGCTGCGCGACTCATGTCCAAGGCCCCCGGTGCCGCCTCCGCCAAGCCCACCACCGCGCCCATGGCCACATCCGGCACTCGCCGGAGCGCTTTGGACACGGCCGGCAGCACCTTACCCGTCAGATCCGCCTCAGTTAAATGCGCCAGCAGCGGCCGGTACGCCGCCTGAATTTCAGGCCCTGCCCGCTCCCGTGCGCCCGCCAACACCTTGTCCACGTAAAGGGCCAGCAGCTGCTCGTAAAGTTCAGCTGGCGGTGCAGCTGAATCATCCAGCAATGCCCGCACCGCACCGCTACCGTTTGCGGCCGCCTTGGCTGCCGCCACAAACTCTGCCTCCAAGGCCGGCTTGCGCCGGATCAGACTCCTGATCAGGTGACCGGCGGGGCTCCACCTGGCAGCGGGCAGGGAGGCCGAGATCTGGTCCAGAAGGCCGACCTGCACCCCAACCAGCTTAGAAACAGCCTTCTTTGCCGCCTCGGAATCAAGCTGTAGCAGCACCTCCGTGGTCCAGTGCAGCAGCACCTGCGCCTCAGCGCGGCTTGGCGGAGGCTTGGCGGAAGCAGCCTTGACGACCACCGCCGCCAGAGCGCGGACAAACGCATCGGAGCGGCGGCTGGCATTAGCCACGAAGGCGCGCACCAGGCGCTGTGAGGAAAGGTCGCTATAGAGGGAGAGGGTGGAGCCGACCAGTGACGCAAGCGCAGCCGCGTTGGCATCCAGGAAGTCTAGCGAGGATGACGGGAGAGAGCAGGAATCCGAGGAGTTAGAAGTGGGTTACGGGGAAAGCTTCACTTCCCAAGTACCCAGGGTGGCATAACTTTACCCCACCATGTGGGCTGCAGCCGGGTTACGAGTGTTTTGAGAGTGGCAACGCTGCAGGTGTATCCGAAGAAGCCAGTACGCAGCTGCCTTATACACTTTATTTGGAGTAAAAAACCAGTGGCGTCGGGACGCAGAGCCGACATTTCCAGGGACTCCACATTCGGGCATAACACACCGTCAGTCGGCCACCGATGCAGGGAAAGAGGGGTATCGTCTGGCTGCCGTTAGTTTAAGTACAGTTCTACAAGAGGATGATGGGGTTTCAGTCCCCTTGCGTAATTTACACGGCGGCTCGATTGATCGGCTCACGACAGAAGCCAGGTAAACGGAAATAGACACCACAAAAGAAAGAAAAAGTGATCTTGGCACAAAAATATCCTAGTTTGCCATTCTGGCTGTTTATACGCGCCGCCCAGACAATTGCCATGCTTTACCGCAATTGCCACACCTTTATCGATGATCTCTCCAGCCAGCTTGTCTGCCCATAGTTCCTGGCGCTTTTTGTAACTGGGCAGGGCAAGACGCCTCTCGGCGTCCGCCAGTACCCCGGCCATTACTACTCAGCTGTTTCAAATACACCAACAGACAAGTAAAGTACCGGTTATAGTTTATGCCCGGACAGACTACACAATGTGAGTCAAAGCGCTAAGATAACTCTCAGGTCTGGGTGTTGACACCCTTCATTCCGCCGTACGACATGCCTGCTCTTACCCAAGCACGGCCTAAGTATCCCTCCGCAGCGCGCCATAAAGTCACCTGCCTTACTCAAACTGACAGACAACACAGCGCCATTATTATTCGTCATTGAGATTGCGTGATGAATGTTATGCCATGCGCATGTTGCGCGGGTATAATCGCGACCTGTTCCAGAATCCGTAGATTCAGACGAGCGCACCAGGTAAACTCAAACTGCATCGCATCGCTACATCTTCCCCTCCATTTCCACTTCGAGGCCTTCAAGCAACCCAGAAGCACTCTACCAGCACGGAGCACACTACCGCCGCGTGCAAACATAAACAAAATGTGAGTACACCTGCTTTGGATATGCCTCCAGCACCTCCCGCGCACTGCCCTCAACCACCACCGGGCCCTCCCGCCAGCCCTGCTGACCCACTTCGTAAAACGATACATCCCAGTCCAGCCCCGGCAGTAAAAGGTAGCGCAGCCGGGTCCGCGGCGGCGCATACGTGATACCAATGTACGAAGACCCCGCGGGCAGCACCCGCTGGCATTCCTGCAGCATGGCCCCTGCGTCGGCCTCGTCACTGTCACCGCAGAGCAGTGCATCCAGCGTGCCCTTATCCAGAATGCCGCCGCCAAAGGACGCGTCTGCGTATTGCGGCATGCTACGACAGTCAGCGACCTCGTACGATAGCCCCTGTAAGCCGGCGTGCAGCTCTGAAAGCTGCTGAATGCACACAGGCGCGTAGTCCACGTTCAGAATGCGCTGGTAGCCATCGTGATGCCTGAGGGGTTCCGAGCAGCAGACGGTTGGACGAGTGGATCGTGCGTCGAGGCCCCGGAACCACGAGAGGCCGGTTCTTCTACCAGGCCCTTGGAGCTTACAAGCAACGCCAGACAACGCATGCATGGGATCAACGTCATACATGGCAAGGAGCCCAAGAGCGTTGCGGGCCCCGCATTGGACGGAAGAGGCGGACGGAAGAGGCTAGCCGCTGAATCGGATCTGACAGAAGAAAGCCGAGCAGGGACAAGGCCCGGACAAGAGCGGCAAGTTGCGGTACGCAGAGGGGCTTCGCGCAGTCATGTGCATGGAGAGGCAGGGATGGGCTCTGATGGGCCCCAGACCATCAGCCCATCAGGGGCTCTTCCTGAGGCCTTTCATGCCGGGGCCCTTACTCCGTTGATATACTGCGGGTACGACCCTAGTGCACCCACATTTGGAATTGGATCCTCGAGCTGCCCACTCCCACGTGAAGCACTGGGCGGGATTTATCGAGGTGCCTGGGGACCCGGAGACGGGGAGGGGGGAAGACGAACCACGAACGAGCGAAGCTGAATCCGCGGGAAGGGGGGGATGTGGGTCGCGGAAGGGGAGCAGGCAAGGATAAAAAATCGAGTCAGGCTACCTAATTTAAATGCAAATGGCAAGCCGGAAGCCGCTGAGGTGACAGGATGGTCGAGAGTCATCACAAGTGGGTCTCCCACTCAGGAAGCTGGCGGAAAACTGGCGGCAGGTGTAGCCGCCAGGAGACAGACAGGCAGGAGGAGATGGCCTCCCCATGAATGTACTTGATCTCCCCATGACTATGTTTGAGGGTTACTGCTTTGTTGCGGTAATTAACTGTAATGGGGCCCCTGCAGGGCCCCTGTGCAAAGTGCAGCGGCTCAAAGTTGGGTCGGTAGCGAAGCTGGATTGCAAGCCGTGTAAGCTGCTTAAGGCGGGTTGTATGGGGACGTGTGATGTGAGGTAAGGGGTTGCACATTTACGCACCGACTTAGGATTGGTTCCAGGCTGCTGTAGTCTCTGTACCACTCAAACGGGGCACCCCCCTCACGTCGGTACCGTTCGTCCCAATAGGATGAAAGGGAGAACTGCAACAGCGCGGTTGAGTGGCCGGTGGGGTTGCCTTGGCGAAGTTCGAATGGACAGGTAGGATGCGGATGGCAACATGGGCCGCCAAGGCCGCTGTACGGTGTCAAGCTACTTAAGGGGTAGGGCTAAGGTGGTAGCCCGGGGAAAGCGCAAAACCAAACGGAAAGTCAGCATCACCATTCATCATATGTTTTAGGAGTCAAAGCCAGGAATCTTAGTGATAACGCACGCACCGCGTCCTCGCTTGTGTACAGCGCAGGGTTGCTGTACGGATCAGCGGCGGTGATTTTGACCTTGCCCCTGCATCGCGGCCAAGTCCTTCGGAGCTCCGCGATGTGCTTACGGGTTGTGGTGAAGCGACTCGTATTGCATTGCATGACCAACATTCCAGTTATGTAGCTTACAGCGCAAGCGCCGTAGTATAGGGTTATAGTAGTAGTTATAAAGCATTGCCTAATCTGCGCGGTGCCACCTCAGGTTTGGCAACGGAAATACACCCTTGTGCTTGGCACAGGAAGAATCCACATCCTTGTACAGCGGCTTCGGAGCTTGAGGTGCCTCAACTTTCCGGCCTCTCCATGTTCCGAAGCTGAATTAGATATACTGATGGCAGTGACTGATTTTTAGCAATGGCATGCGAGTCCTCGTGGCCAGGATTCAGCCGTTTAGAGTCTGTTCAGGAAATCCTTGATCGCAATAAGCTTCTCATCAGCGAAATTAACCAAAATCACGAGTTGCGGACGCCGGAATCACTGCTCCGAAACGTTACCCTCATACGCGAGTTGAACGGAAACATGGCCACTGTCGTCGAGGCCTACAGACAGCTAGCTCTCCTAATAGACGCCCCTAGCTCCGGAAGCGCGCTTCCTTCTGGCCAAGCATAGCAGTTTTCTGGAGGTCTACGTAGCAGCGTCACAAATTTCGCCATGCTTGCACGAATTTTCAGTCAGTCCACAGCTTGGCCACTCGGCCGCGGCTTTGCCTCAAAGGCGGCAGCATCGGCTCCAGGCCTTATCGAAATTCGAGAGTACACTCTTAAGCCGGAGGGCGTATCCCAATTCATGAAGGTTGCCACGGAGTACGCAGATGTGCGACGAGAGCTGTTGCGTGAGTGTTCGTGTGAACGGGAAGAGGCGGCTTGGCGCACTTTGCGGAATTTCGACCCAGGGGTCCCCCAAGGGGAGTTGCCATAGCATCCCGCTCCTAGGGTTGGCGCCCTCTTTGGCCTCCTACGACTGCGGTTGGCGACTGCAGCTTGGGGAAACAGCATAGCTTTGACAGCCAAGCTTTGACTGGCCAACACATGGCGTTGGCCTCACAGTCCCCACCATAAAAAAGTCCACACCCAGCGGTGCAGATGCTCATCCATCCCTGGCTCAGGCTCCCTTCATCGCTTCACCTCCTAACACTTCGCTCACCGCTACCTCCCCCGTACCGCTCCCCCTCCCTACCCACTTCCCCTTCCTCCGCCTCCATGCAACATCCCCTTCTGGTTGCTTATCCTAATTCCACCGCACGCAACTTTCCTTGCAGCCTTCCTGGGCCTCTTCACGTGCGATGTCGGGTCGTGTCTGCACCGCGTGACGCACCTGTATGCCTACTCGAGCTTCGAGCAGCGTGATGAGGTCCGCGCCCATGCGGCCCAAGATGCACGATGGAAGAAGTTTATTGAGCTGTCCCGGCCGCATGTGCAGTATCAGGTGGGTGGATGAATAATAGCAGGATTGGCGGTCGTGCGACTCATTAATATTGCGAGTTAGCACACCGCATTATGTAGGTTTGGATGTATTCCACCCGACAGTGTCGCGCGTGAGGAAGTTCAACTGGGACCAGGCGGGCTCATTATGGCTGTGGTAAGGTTGGAAAGCGGCAGCGGTCTCCCACAGCGCGGGCAATTTTCAGCGGCGGGCCCGACGCGCGCGTCAATATTGTGGGGTACGCCGCAGCGGTCGCCAACACGGGGCCGCCAACGCGGGGCCGCGTCCTTGTGCTCTGTGCTGTGCTGTATGTGTATCTATGATCCGAGCTGCAAGGTGGAAGTGTCTGTGATGTCATAATATGAGCATGTATTGTGTTTATGTGCAGGAGAATAGGGTCATGCTGGAGGCACGGCCCATCTACGAGGCGCTGGAGCTGCCGCCAACGGCCCTCTTCAGCTCACCGCCCACGGCGGGTCCGGCAAAGGTACGGCACTAAGGGCACATGAGCGCACGCCTTCTGGCGTAAATGCCATCACGCTGCTGCCTTTCTTCTTGGGCTTCACAACACCACCGTTTGCATCCTGCTTCCGCCATAATCATCATCATCATCATCATCATCATCACCATCATCATCATCATCATCATCATCATCATGTTGTGCGCCGCAGGTCGTGTATGAAATGCGGTCCTACCAGCTGCACCCCGGCTACGGATCTGTACCAAAACTGGTGGAGGCGTTCAGTGCAGGGTACGTAGACCGCGACTCACTTGATTTGATGATGCTCTCACGAACCCGAATTGGGTCTCACTCCTGAAGAAGTGACGCTTCTCTTCGGACAGAGAAGCGTTCATGCTGGTGGGTTGGGTGGATGGGCACTACGTCCAGCCTAGGAACTGGAGCACCAAGAAGCCATGCTGGAAAGCGACTCGGTTGGCGCTAGAGGAGGCGAGGGTCATATTGTGTTGCCGCTTCCATGCCATGCGTCTCCGCCTGAGCGAGGCGCAAGGTATAGACGAAACAATTATAAAAGCGGAGAGGAGCACAGGCCGAGGACCCACCCGGCTGGTGGTGGTTTGTGAAGGCGACGTTGTGTGGACTGGGGCCAGGAGCGGTCCTCCTGACGCTTGATTCTGCATTTGGTGCACATCCTTTGAGCGCCGGATGTTGTCATCTGCCCACCAGCTGCCATCCGCCGCCGCTGTGGTACGGATGCACCGTCGGCCCTGTACAGGCTGCCCGCGAAGGTGGCGGCTGACCCCGAGGGCCGCCTGGTCTTCTTTGGGTACACGGTGAGGGGGTCGTGAGCAGTGAGGGCATATAGTGCAAACTACTTGTTGCAAAAGCAGAACGCAGTACTCGCATTAGCCGAAGCCTAAGGGTCCCACTTTCCTAAGGCCCAAATGTGTAGTGTGCTCATGCCTGGCCGGTACCTGGGCGGGGTCCGTGCAGCTTTGGAACTTGTCCAACACTGCGTCCCGGCCAAACGTTTCCCTCCATCGTCACAGGATGTGGGTATGTTGAACAACGTGGTGGAGATTTGGAGGTACCCCTCGGCACAGGCATGCATCAAGTGAGACCCGGTACACTCATGGGTCGGTTGAGGGCAGTTGCTACCTGAGGAGTAGCGGGGCGCCCTAGGAGACATGTCCGCCCAGTTCTGGAATACAGTGACGTCGGTCTTGATAGCTTTGCAGGTCGGCAACTTTCAGCGCCGATGTTGCCAAAATAAATAAATGAATGCGCTGGTTTGGCCCTGGCCCTGGTCTACTCTACTTTCTGTGCATTCCAGGGCCCGACAGGCGGCGCGCACCGTGTCCAAGTGGCGCGAGACCATTTCGGCCATCACGCCTGGAGTGCAGCACTTCACATCCGCCTTCCTCAATCCGGCACCCTTCTCACCCTGGCAATGAAGGAGGAGCCGCTTGGGGAAGGCCGAGTGCCCGCTATATGAGGCCAGCCCGAAGGGGTTAGCCATATAGCTGCATACGAGCCACTTTGGCACTCGGCAGGTCGTTCTCCCGGACCGTACCTGTTGGAGCCTGCATGGCCGTGTGGTTACTCATTAAGAAGGGAAGATCGTACGTATAGTATTTCTAGCCTTGACGCCAGGAAGCCAGTGCGCGGGGCTCTGCAAGCCTGCTGGGTGCGTGAATGCCACAAATACCTTGGCAATGACGCCTAGAGTCATTCGTATGGCAAAAGGGGGAAGATATGACAGAGCCGTCTGTCAGTTTGCGAATGTAGAAGTAGACCCCGGTCGTCTGTCAGGTCATCCTCCTGTGCCGAGTCGACGCCTGGAAGCTGACTGGACGGTATGTCTAGAGTAGCTGGCGGCTAACCACGCGACGGATTGACGTTGATTACCCCCTGGCCTTGGCCTGCATGCAGTCTGTGGTGTTGGCATGCCTAAGGGGCTGCGGTGAGTGTATTAGCGTCCCGATCTGTACAGCAGGCCCCACCCACCCTGTAATGCCGTCTGGTTGCGAGCAAGGACAGCCAAGTTGGATCCCAGCCAACTTCCTGCTGGATTCGGTCAGCGGCACCGGTTAATACCACCTGCCACTGGATGGCGAGGCGGCGATGTGTCGTACTTTCGGAGCCAGCTGCCCGCTGACGGTTCGGTGCTGTACTTCCTGGCATCAGCAAGTTCGGGTACCGTACTGTTGAACTACGCACGCGCGGCACGGTTGCTGTATTTGCCGAGCGCGCAGGTGTCATACTCGCCGCCTGGGAAGAAGTCCTTTGGAGGCATTCGGGGCACTGAGAACGGCCCTCCCGGCGGCAGACGTGGTTGGCGGCAGTAGCTCGTCGGATAGCAACGGCGCCGATGGCGCGCTGGGGCCCCGCCCCAAAAGTATGCTGGTGAATGTTTGGGTAGCTGTCTTTGTGGTAGAGGAAAAAAGTAGTTTGGCCAATGCAGAATGGGTAGAGCACTTGAAAGCCAACTAGAGCCGCGGCTGTAGTGTCGTACAGTCATCCAAAGGACGGAAGTCATTGCGGCCTCCCAGGCAACGAGTACTCATACTCGGTATGGGCCGGATAAGCTTTTAACATCTTATTTTAGGCGCAGCCGAAAATGTGGTTTGAAGAGGGGCGTCAGAGCGGCGTCGTACGGTGCAGTTAGTTGGTTGTTGTTATGACTGCTATTTGATCGGTGGTGTTTAGTCTTGTCAATTATCTTCCGGGCGATCTCGGACTCGGCTGCTAGTTGATACGAGCTCTCTTTACCAGAACAGCTGCTAGCTGCCGCTGTTATTGTCCGTTGGTCAGCGGTGTGAATTTGACGACCTTTTTCTTTCCCGGTTTAACTTTTACCTAAGAGGTCAGCTACTCTCCACAGCTCATCATGCCACACCCTTCCTTTCGCCCCTGAACCTTTACAAACCCCACGCGACCGAGTCCCCCGCCATCCCCTCCTCCACATCCTAACATGCGAACACGCACCTCGATCTCTTCGTGAACTGGAACCCACAAACGCCCCCGTCAAGGTGGACAGGCAAGCCCCCATGTTGTAGGGCCCCTTGAATCAGACTTATTGAAGGACACTACCCACGAATCATAACACCTTGGCAAACTTTCGTGCGCGAAACATTCCTTGATTGTGCTCGCGGGGATCTGAGGGCAACACCTCTCGCCCAGCCAAGGCTGAGACGAGGCATGGCATGGCATGAGAGATTAAATGATATATGACAGCGGCAACATGCAGGTCGGCAAGTGAAACGTATGGGAAAACGTCTCACCCTCATGCACGCACACAACAACAGCAAGCAAACAAGCAATAATGTGGCTGGCAACCAACAGCACCGACCTGGGGTTTCCTACGGCTTTACAAGCCATTTGCTGCCTTTTCTGTTTCTGCTGCTTCTGCTTCTGCTGCAGCTACTGCCAGCCGCCAGCCAATCACAGTTGCAACTGCTCAATGCTTTTAGCTATGGAAGTCGCAGTACATACACGAAGCCCACAAGCACACCTGCCAACCTCGCCACCCATACCCCATCCCAAGTCCTCCAACCCCCTTTTCTTGAGATTGCCGTCCGCCACGTCCGTGCGCGCATGGTAGCTAACTAGCCGAGGAAAATAACCCAATACGTCGTATTTGAATACTTACAAATAGTTTCCTCTGATGACATGGCAGCGGTCGTACGTGACTCCGGCCGCACAAGATGCGACCGGGGGATACGACGGTGATGAAGGAGTAGGGGATGAACCGATACACAGCGCCGTGCACGCCTTATAGCCGTCGATACAGGCGCCATGCGCTGCTGGGGCCTCGTATGCCTAGATGCTGATGCCTAGATACCGGCAGCGTATGACACGACGCACAAGTCCCGCGAGCGTATGTACTGGCCTGTTGGAAGTCCAAGACCACGCTCGGAGAAATATCTGCCGGGCAGCCTGGTCATTGCATTATCCAGCTGAGTCCCATGCCAAAGCTCTTGCATGCCCTGTCCTTGGTGTCTTACGGAATAGGCTCCGGGACCTTGCACGCCGCTATGCAGCCTTATGACGACAGCCCTGAGGTGCGGCCGAATGGTTCACATAGTGGTAAAGGTTCATTGCTACCTTCTGAGGATAAACTGGATCGTGCCGAATAGCCCCGCGAGCTGATGGGCAAAAGCCTCCGCCAGCCAGATGGGATGTTGGAACGTATGTGGGCTCACCGCAACTCAGTTATCCCCTTTGGGCGCTAGTCTGGGCTGATGTGCGATGTTTCCTGTTCTCCGTGGCTTTTAGGCGTTGTAGTATTGCCCTTGGGCCTTCGGCTCGTATGGGTAGTTTTACAGGTATGGGGCCACGCACCCCCAACCATGTAACACACACACACACACACACAGATGGGCTCCAAGGAGTTTGGTTACCTGGTACCCCTTCGCGTCTCATTTTCTTGGTTGTGTGGGAACCACGGCAGAACGGCTATCACAGTAGGGGTTGATTGCTGCTACAAATTCCCGTGCAGCCCCCGGGTCCTAATTCTTTGTTCGTTCTGGGCACGGTATGGAACGGGTGTGCGGGGTTCTGAGGACCCGTGGCTCTATTAGCTCGACCCGCTCGGCAATAGAAGGATAGATGGAAATAGCGACAGAAAGGTAAAGACGTAACCCAAATCGGTGTGCTTGCCTCCACCCGAGAAATACTTCAGGGGGGTCCTGGAAGTCAAGTTCTTTCCTGGTGAGCCAGGGTTAGCTTGCTCGCCACATGCTTATGACAGCCTAAGATTGGCAGTTTATTTATTTTCCTCCGATGCCTGTGCCTGATAATGGCATGCTGGTCTTCATGCGTGATAGTGACAACCCTGGGTGTGTGTTTTCACGTCTGCCGTACCTATGTCGCTACTGCACTGGCTACTTATGTAACCTTTTTTGCGTTGGAAGCTCTTGGTTCGTTAAGGCGGGACCGCTAATTGCTCGTACAAGCAGCGGATGTAACACACACACACACATATAGCGTGCAGCAAACAGAGTCGTCGTCGCCCGTCTGAGTGCATGTGTGCGGTTTTCGTTGCAATACGCGCGGGGGCATTCGTAACGAGGTGCATTCTCATTCTGGACTGGCTCCGGGATCACATCTAGTGGGGTTCTTCATGGCCCGCTAGTGGGTATACCTTCTTACCGTCTCCGGGGGATACGGTGAACGGCTAACTGCTAACGGCATGCAGTCGAAACCCATGCCGATACCTGCAGCAATAAGGCCAACTCTGCGTACCGTGTTGAGTGTCCAGGCACGGCCAGTCTCGGCTGCTATGTGATTGGACCTCTGCGATCGCTTTACGAACAGGCCGTATGGCATGAATGGTTTCGGGGTTTTAGCAATTGCACGGGTGAACGGGTTGGCTACCCGTTTAGCAACGGGCCTACCACAGAACCCCTCAGGATATACATCTTATATGCCTTTGCACCTGTGAAATCATAACGGGTGTGCTGAAAAAGGGGTGACATGCAAAGGCAAACTGTACGGCAACTGTTCGAGCGGAAGTTGCCCTTTCTCCTAACGATACACTTAAACGAAGTTACTGCTTACAATATCAGTAAAAAAATATTTTCTCTTGTCCCAATCACAGAACAACTCTAAAGTATTAACTGTTTAGTAACACTGTTCTAAATGACACTGGAAGCTGGCACCCTACGTGTGACACTCCAATACGCCAAGGACATCAAGGACTGCGACTGGTTTGGCCGTCAAGACCCGTACGCCAGGTGCGCAACGAGTAGCTTACAACAGCTAAGACACTTTGCTGCAGCCACGCCAAATTATTGTTGAATTTCAAGATGCACCTATAGCTAGATAAGATATATAACCTTATGGATGACCTTAAAAATTACGGAACCTTGTAATACTGGACGCGTGGAATACATGAGGCCATCTCAATGTTAACAATGCTGTATGTGATTGGATTCGGTAGGGGCGGTTGGGGCTAGTTGAGGTTTGGAAAGGATAAGCGACCTGGTAGGTGCCACTGGCAGAAGCGGATGTGTACAGCGCATCTTACATTGTTTTGGTTCACACGACCTTCTTTACGACCACATTGTCCGTGTAGGGGAATTTAAGCTGACGCTAGAAATGCTTGTTACGCTGCCGGATCGTGTGCAGGCTGCGCATCGGAAGCCAAGAGAGGCTTTCCCGGGTTTGCCGTGATGGCGGCCGCAACCCAGTTTGGGATGAGGCCTTTGAGTTCACCATCATCAACGAGAACACTTTAGAAATGATCCTCATGGACCAGGATACTCTCAAGCGCGACGACCTTATCGGTACATGTACCATTAGCCTCGCGCGAGTCCGCGAGCAAGGTCACGACATCGTGCAGGCGCCTGTGTCCAATGGAAAGAAGACTCAAAAGCAGCAAGGTTTTGTGCAAGTCAGCCTCTCCTTTGTTCCTAACTCCAGGCTACGGCCGTCCAGCCAACCAGCTGCCTACCATCCGGCAGCGCCCATGCCAGCCTACAGCTACACCACTGCGGCACCTCCGCCAGGTGCGTCGCACCAAGCGGCCACCTGCGGTTATGGCTATGCTGCGCCAGCGCCTCCTACGTGTGGACCAGGCCCCACAGGGTATTATTCTGCACCGTCCTTTCATTATAGCCCGTGTTTAGGGACCCATCAACCAGCAACGGTCGCTTCAGGTTGGCCAGTAGGTCCTGCACACGGTGCGGCACCGCCGCCAGCAGCACCGACATACTATCCTTTTCCTCCGATGCAAGTTCCAGCGTCCGCGCCACCGTATAGCGGGTCATACAGCGCAGCCCCGTATCGAGGGTGATGCTTGGTGTTGGCATAGATGTGCTGCATGTCCGTAAGTGCACTGTGTAAAGCGTCATAGCGCAGCTCTAGTGATGGGATAAAAGTGGTCATGTGCATCTGTGCATCCGGAACGTGAAGGCATGCAGGATTTTTTCGAGGCAGGGTTGTTGTCTAGGTTAACGTGATGAGGCCGTTTCTTGCAGAGCGAGGTTTATACATAGTACTGCAATGATACCATATGATAGCCTACGTATTGTTGCTGTTGGTTCCGTATACTACCATATACTAGCCGATTCATGCAATTGGCGCATGACGGTTATGGCCAAGATGCATCGGATGTGGGTGATACAGGTTGTTGACTGATAAAGCTCACCGATTGTGTGTGTGTGTGTGCATGCGGATTCTTTCATTGCTTGGACGTCGTCAATACGAATGCACCTTTCTCTGCAATTCGTGTGAAGAGGCGCGAACTATGGAGGCAGATAATAAGGGTGCACTTACGTAAGGTGTTTTTTATGCAAGTATATGCTAGGATTTTATCATGACTGGTCGGCATGCGGCAAGGTAGGGCCAGGGCTGCGG